CCAGATTTCTGACATCGACTGTTTGTAACGTATCGTGAAGCAAAGCAGCCGCGCCCGGCCACTATCGACGGCATTCGAGCTAGCTAGAGGTCTCCAAATAACTACTAAAGCAAGTGATCAGCCTTCTAGCAGGCCAAATAAATTTCTGTGCTAGGACAGTCGTGCCCAGTGCAGCGGACTTAATACGCCGCGGACCATCGAGTATTACCTCACGGACTGATGAACCTACTGGTGGGTGGCTGAACGGCTCATGATTTTTATGGACTGTCATCGCAGGCGACCGTGGTGACACTACCGATCATATTGAGGGCTTGCCGACGCTAGTTGACTTACTCCTAGAACCGGATTCTTCTTCGGATAGGCTCTGAGGCGCACAGTTTACCACCGGCCAGGATCCTGCACAACCCTTTGTATAGTGCCTGTACCACGTGACACGGATACCCCGTGTAATATAACTAACGAGAGGTCTCCACGAGCCCACGAGGAGGCAGCTGTTTTAGGCCACTGGGGGCATTAAGTACCGGGACGTTGATAAGCAAGGAATTACTGACTATTAGTCGAAACCCTCCCCTTTAAGAGATATGCCCGGTAGTGTTTAGTCAAAGCGAACTACCTGCCAGAGTCTAAGCTGGGCGGCAGCGGATTCACTCTGCTTCCAGGATTAGCCGTTGACTGCCTGAATTAGAATTAATGAGCGGTTGTATCTTTCGTAGTATTGAACTACACGGCACCCTTGGCATCGATTGCCAACAAAATTAGATCAAATCACAGCAACGGCGGCGCGGAAAAATCTGAAGATAGAGTGAATGAATACTTGCCCGTGGTAATCTTTGTGTTAGCGGAATAGTTCATCTTTCCAGCAGTAACCGGTCAGAGCGCTGACACCGATCCCGGTACCGAGTTGACGGTGCGTATCAAGGAGCCTGAGCCCAAACCGATGGAGGATTCTTACCGCTGCAATGGTCACGACCCGCTGGTCCCAAGCATGTTGCCCGGCACGGATCTAATATGTAGATTCCTATCTTCTGCGCGATACTCCTCACATGCCGGGTAGGATCCAGTATCAGGGGTCTTCCACAGATTCACCTTTACCTGGCCAGGCAACCAAAGTATGCGCGACTTGTGTAGGGTAAATAAGCAGAAAGCGGTTGTGAACGGACCTGCTGACTGACAGACTTCAGGTGTGTTCCTTGAGGGTTTTAACGCTGTACCCCGATTAAATAAGCTATAATAGTCTAGCTATACCACTAACATAAGATAAGGTCTCCCTTCATGAGAGGGGTGTGCCACCACCCACGCACCTACACGCCCTTGCTGTTACGATACAAGTTCTAGCTATTAAACGCGTCCAATATTATATGGCAAGCTCGTAGACCGCCATATCTGAACGCTTACAAATCCCGGAAGGTAATTTTAAGAGTAATCCATCGTGTTGCTGGCGTCGTGGTGCAGATTTTCTCAATTTCAAAATATACCCACGAATTACTTAATTGTGATTACACACAGCAACATAGCTCCCTCCTAAACTACTGTCGACCAAGTATGTGAAACACAGTATCTTTGTGTTAGCATCGTGCTATAATGGCACAAATGCCAAATGTAATTAATTATATGGTGCCTTAATTGGTTGGCTATGACGTAAAAATGGTTGATTGAAAACAAAAAAAGCTTATTCACGCAAATGCTCTATTCAAATACAGACATATCTCTTGGAGCACTGCCTCTCATAGCGATATTTGTTTTGGAGGAATATTCCTGCGCGAATCATCCCATATATTGAAGTCGGCATGGCGTAACCAATAGGTGTGTGTCTTTGCCTACATATGGTCTTGTGGAACCTTAATCGAGGTTATTGTATTCATCCTGCTCAGTCGATCTGAAAGCGACGTTAGTATCGAATCATCGAGGGCTAATCACTGCGTCGATTAATTGGCAATCCATGGATCGAGTAATCGACATTAGGAAGTACTGTTTCGCTTCCCGCGGAACGTGTTACGCAAGCTCCGATTGCACTGGTGAGTAAATCATATTGGATTTGTTTATATCATTATAAATTAAGTGATTATTGTTATTTATAAAATGCTTTCATACATTTATCATGTGTACAGTATCATTATTAAGGCTATTATTGATACCCCAAGGAAGCCCTCATATCGCTCAAATGTAAAAAAAAAATCACGGTCGGTAACGCATCTCCATTGGAACCATGTTATAGTAACCTCCTACAGCGCTGTGTCATATAGCGCTCCATTTACCAAGAACACATCCTGAGCACTATTAAAAGTTGTGCCTGTATACACACATTTGAAATGTATCATTTTATTAATCTTCTGTCAGGGTTTTATTTTTTCAACTTAAAACTCACAAAAATTGTATCTGTAACTTGAGCCATTTGGACAAATGTTTTAATTATTTTTTTCTATGTTGCAGGGGTAGCAACAGTCACGTGAAAAAAATATCCGTACAATGGAAATGAAAGCCTGAAAATCATTTTCAAAACGCTTCACATATAATCTGGGTTGGGTTGGTTTCACAAACACACGAGTTGTGAATTGAGATTTGTTAAAAAAAAAGTTGTGTGTATGAGGCACCTGTGGCACAGAGAACCGTAAAAAAGCACAGCGGTGCTTTAGAACGTCTCTACTTTATCTGAAATATCCTCCTTATCAGTCTTTTACAACCACCACTAAAGATAAACTCAGCAAGGATTATGACCCAACATCCAAAGCAGGACTTTCTACGACACTTTAAGACGCCTTCAAGATGATGTCATTTGGATGAAAACAAATCTCTCAAATGGGATATGGGTGGAACAGCAAAATATTGATGGACGATACTTACTGCTAAGCACTTTAGAAATGGCAGTGTAACTTTTTTAAAAGTGGCACAAACTTAAAACCGTATCCAGTATTCCCCCCCCCCCACCCATCTTTATATGCAAAATCATCAACTTATTTGAGCAATTCTTATATTCATTATAAAATGTATATAATTCACATCCTGTATGTGCAAGTGCTATGAAATATAAAAAGTGCAACATTTCAATAGCAAACCCGATATTATGCATAAACTACACTGTACAAACAATATATAAATGCACAGTGCGCGTGAGTTACAAGATCCGTTTATAAACTGGGGCCAGTTCAAACACAATATACAACACTGCATGGCAAGGTAGGGGTTGTAGTGATATTATGCCATGAGCTATTCTGATACAAGTCACGATGGTCCAACTGATTTTTCCCGTTATCACAGGTAACAGTAGTTATGTAGTGCTATATATTGCATCACACCTACGACCAAATCACCCGGAATGTGCCCGATCCCACGATACCTCGGAAGTCAAGCAGGATTGAGCTTGGATAGTGCTTGGATGGGCCAACACCATGCAATACAGGTGTTACAGACTGTGGGTGCTACATGGACAGCAAAGGCTATTACAGCAAAACATTGTTGTTTTTGTATGTTCCACACATTCACCAACCAGCACTCCCCAGAACGAAGTGTAGTCAAATAACCCGTCGTGACCCACGCGGGTGTCCGAAGGCCCTCATCCAGATGTGGATTGACAAGAGATGTACATGCACACAGGTACATGTGTAATACAATGTGCTTCAAAGAGACCAGTACACTTGGTGTGGAAATGTGTAATCACGTTAGCAATGTAACAGCAACAAATACATGTTGTGGATGCACTCTTAAAGCCTTCATTTACCTTACCCAGCGACTCTAGACGTTGCATATACCAGAACATAAACTCTGTAACAAACACATTTTAGGGCTGCAACAGATAAAGGACTAGTTATTGACCATGAAAACCAGACTGCCATAAATAGAATAAGTATTTATTTATATATGTATAATTGTACACGTATGCTTGTATAATATACGCATCTAGAGAACACATTATACATGGATATATGTATAAACTAAATGCATAAGAAAAGCCTCCATACATGGCTCGAGAACAGGTGATTGGCAAACACTGTTTTCAGATTTCTAGTTTCAGGTAATGCATGTAGAAATTTTAATTGAATGACTGGTGGTTTTACCCGATCCTACTTAACCAAACTATGATTAAGTCCAGATAGATTTACAGGAGAATCAGTCTGGTCACCACCTGGCATGGGAGAATTAAATATTACAGATTACATTTTATTTTGCTGTTTCACCTGATACTGTAAAATCTGAGAAAAAATGTGTGGAACCTCCAACCAAAGCCATGAGCCATAAGTGCTTTACAAGTACATAGGCTTATTTTATGAATTCAGCTCATAGATAGGCTTATGTTTGTTGGATTTACTTTCACCTAAATAATTTTGGCTATCCAGCTAGGTGGTGCTGTGGTTAGAGCGCTCACCTTACAATTGAAAGACTGCAAATTCAAATTCCAGCCGGAGGTTGACTCAGTTGATCATCCCTCTGGGGTCAATAAATGAGTCCCCTTTGTGGGAAGTCAACAGAATTCTTGCAATGGGAGAATGGTCCCCCGACCATTGGAATGTGTCATTTCTACTCGTGGTTCAGAGCAATGCCCCATTGTTGGTAAAGCAGTGAAATGCTTGAAATGTTTTAGTTCTTGATGTCAAAAACAGCCGTTGATTGGTTGCAGCACTAAAATATGTATACAACCTATGAACCCTGAATAAAATGAGTTGACAGGACTCTAATATGTAATACACAACACACATGAACACCAGACGAAAAATGTGTGCCTAGATGAAAGTTCACATTTAAATTATGCTTTGTTTTGGTTTTGTTTTTACTAAAATACACTTATCCCTCTTAACACGGTTTATTTGGCTGAAGAACAATTATGAATTCACTGGGGAAAAACACAATAACTTACAATCTTCCTTTCACACACATACATCCTGTATGATATCACAAAGCTTCAATGGCAACTGCAAGTTCCAAAGCAGACCTGCCACTCTGACACAAGCATGGTAGAATATAAACACTCAGTGATGGTCCCATTAAAGCATTTACTTCTTCTATAGCTACACACCAATTGGAGAGTCGGGTTGTGGAAGTGCTTGCTCTGAAATCACATGAGACCCATTTAAGTCTCCGTTGGCATCCTTAAAATCGTGTGGAGATAGAGAGTCTTCAGATTCTTCTTCTGCACGCTCTGCCGAGCACTGGACACTGTCCATTTCTGATGGAGCGGTAGCCGAAATTGAATTCTGACCTGAAAATGAAAGATACATGATAAGCGAATTTTTATTTCTTGTTATTACATTTGACTTTTTACAGAAAAACCTTGTTAAGATTGTCACAAAATAGATTTATTTTAAAAGCAGTTTTTGTTGTTACATTAGTGAAATAAAACATTATGCAAAACACTCACTTAAAATGCAAACAGATTTTTTTGTTCTACAGGATATGTCGACATAAGCCGGAGCCATTTGAAAATATTGTACATTTGTAAATGATTTAGCAGTTTGTGTAAAAAACAATAATGTTGCTGTTCATATATGTTGATGTAAAGAAGCAAATCTTTCCGAATCCACACACCTTGGCGATTGTATTACAATTCATCCAGAATCTAACATCCCACATCGTTCAACATCTAAGCAGGAATGTGACATTCCTGTTTCTTAATTACGTTTCAGCCACCATGTTTAACATCCACTACGGTTAATTAATTATCAAGCTCTTCGGTATTTTATCCATGTCCCCACTTGTCACACTCATCTACTAAAAGCATGAGAACATGATGCATGGGCATCATATCCAACATACACTACATTTCAATATATAAATGCTACGTAACAATTTTTAACCATCTCAGTTGATGCAGATGGTTAAAAAAGCTTGCACATCACAATGCCTTCATGAATGTATTCTCTCATCCACTGGCCGAATATATTCTGCAATCTAATGTCTAAATAATTTCTAGATCTGTTCAATCCTCTATCCACAAAATCAAAGGGTGTAATTATCTATGACCATCAAAGTGAATCTATCCATCTTGTTGAACGTGTCTTAAAATCATATTCTAAGGTACAAATTCTCTACCATGTGTACCTTACCCACTTGACAAACGGTTCACAATACTCAATATCCTTGGGTCTAGTTGAAACAAGGTTCAATAACACCATATTTGTATCCTCCAATTTACCCGAGTGGCCTGCACGGACCTGATTAATATCCAAACGTTTACAGCCTGACCAATTTGTTTGTTGCCCAAACAGCAGATGTACATAAATTTACCGCCCTCCAAATATTCTACATTCAGCAACTGGCGAGTAAAGTCAGAGTTAAATAAATATGAGTATCTCTATTGATGCAAAGCTAAGAGCATTGTATATGCAATAATATATGCAATGTGGTGGTCACATAACATGCATGCAAGGCATGATGGGAGTTGTACTTTACTGCTGTTTGTGAGCACTCCTCTGTGTGTTGTTTAATGTTTCCTGTCTGCACACATTTTCCTGTTTTAATGGATTTTTCATCATTTACAGAAAGTGTTGGATTTGAATAATTGTTGAATTTTAAGCAATGTTCACGGGAGTCACTAAAGTGTAGGTGTAAATCCTCTCCATATGTCGGGGCTACCAGAAGCAGTGAACAGTGATGGCTGTACTCTTCTGATGAGTCCTAATTGATGTGGTGGTTACATGACATGGATGCAAAAGAATGAAAGGAGCCATCCCTTCCCGTTATTTGTGAGCGTAACATTGTATTTTGTTAAAACTATTATCAGTCAGCCATTCGTATGGATTCCACATTCCTATGGCAAGTCCCAGTTAATTAACACGAAAATCGCTGTTAACGTATCCTGAATCTTGAAGGGACAAACTGCTCAATCAAACCCCACCGGGATTACGGCAACGCTGACAACCTTCCGGATGCAAGTCGCACACTCGAACCACATCATCATCTGTCAATCCAATAAATGCAACATGTTCGCGTCACCATTTACCCTCTGGCGCAGTGGTGGCCGCGCGGAGGTGCTGCTCAGCATCTGTCTGTGACGGGGATCGCTGCCTCTGGAGCCGCCTCAGGGATCGAATCGATGCCATCTCTTCCAGATCCCTCACAACTGTCGTGCCTCCATGCTGCTGATGTTGCTGCTTGCTGTCCATCCTCCATGTTTGAGTCGCGTGCCTTAAACAAGAACGCGAGCAAAGCAGTAAAAAATGCTAATTTAGGGAGATACTCCTGCCATATGAATACTGAGTTTCATCACTGAAACAAGGCCACCAGCTGACATGATCACCAATGCTGGAATTTACAGAGATGCTTATAATTTCTTAAATTTTTTGGAAAATACAGATTAAGTTTTCCTGTCCTGAGAGCGATGCATTATGACCAAAGTTCACTGTACAGTGCCTATGTTAAATAATGCATGACTTCATGCACCAGTTAAAAGGAAATATAAAAATCAATTACTGCTGCAGCAAATTATTTCAAATTGCATTTACATTTTTCGCAAATAGGCATTGATACTTTTATTAATGCCTAGGATTGCTGGATGGATAAATGTCAGAATGGGAATCACATAGCTGTTTGTCATTGACAATTATTGACATGAGTGGTCAAATGTTGAGTTATTGAGCATTGTAGGAAAAGTTGCAAGCTACGCCTCAGACCCAAAGTGAGGAAGCACATTCAACGTCTCAACTCAAGCACAAGCCATCTCAAGTAAGACAGTTTATTAACAACTAGCTTTACTACCCGGCTTCGCCTGGGACTTGGATTCACGACGCCCGGCCGCCTTTGTCTCCCCAGTAGCGATGTTCACACCACACGAGTTACTCGTTTGAGGCCGAGTCGACCTAGGGGAGGCCCAGGACCGGTTCAAATAATCGTCATGGTGGTGGCCATGAGCGGGAATCGAACTCTGGTCGCTGGGTTCGTAGCGCAGCGCGCTAACCGCGACACTACCCCACACAAACGCACGCGCGTCCATAGGTACACATACACGCGATTGCAGCAGACACACAACTTTCAGAATGCGTACAGCAGTAAACGACTGAAATAATAAAGCAACGCTGTGCGAAGAACACCTTAGACCTGCAACACATTTGTATTTCACTTTACCCGCGATCAGCAGGCACACTCCGTTACGCTTTTAAACAGACACACAATCACAAATATCCTTTATATAGATGTAAAGCCATTGCTTGTTATTATCAAAGCAAGCCCGAGTACACATCCAATATAACAAAACAATAACGCTATGTGTAGCTTTCTCAGATTCATAAATTAATAACAATCAATTATATAACAACCAAAATCAAACAACATCGACTAACCTTTCAAGGGACCCAAAGTTTGGCTGGCTCGTACGTTTGATCTGGGGAAGACAATTTTAAACAAATTAATGCATCATTTAATAACGTTAGCATGGTTATACTAACGACAATCCTTTAATCTCTGTAGAAATAGTTTTAGAATCTACTGTGCCACGTAAAAAGTAAGCGATTCATTAATTTGAGAACAATTATAATAAAAGAAAATAAAAATGTATACATGTAAAAATGAATAATGCACGCAATTTGTTATAACCTCTATATGTTACATTTGAAAATAAACATAAGTTAAATGGAAACGCAAGCGTATATGGTATTTCAAAAGGTTTGAGAGGGCTGCATGAGTTAACAAAACACTGCATTCATTTAGAGAAATTTTTTCTAACAGCAATTTTAGACACTAACATTATTGTGTGGTTACAGTCTACAAGGCCTGCTTTTAAGCAGACATGAAATACCATAACTGGTCCAATTAATTTTAAATACGGGTTTGCATGCACTCCCTGTAAGTTATTTCATAACATTCAAATGAATGATGTTTTCAGTTGTGAAGATATACACCACACACACAGACGCATATTTTTTGGGAAATATGATCCAGTGGTCCCAAGACAAGTAACATTAGGCGGTCATTTTCCCGACAATTTTGGGCCATTTCAACTTGTCAACATCACACACATCTGTGGAGCAACAGATGCCCAGCTTTGTTTAATTATTCAATGACAGGCTGTTGAGCAGAGTTGGAATTTAGCAACAAGCACTATTAAGCAATGTGTGTTAAACTATATTTGTATTGCATCAATAGAATACTAAAAAATGCCACAATGGCTCCAGTCCAAGACAAGGAATATTTAAACATTACTGCCCATAGGGTTGAGGCCAACTGGAAAGTGGACTTCCAAGGGTGACTTTGAGAGGCCTTCTGTAATCTGTCAATGTCATCATGGTTCATTTCTTTACTGAAAGGTTATGTGTATGATTATTAAGGCAGTCGGTAAGTTAAAGCTTACACAGCAATTACGATGTTGCACTTAGGTAAAATGCTTTTTTTTATAGTCTGTACCTGTGCAAATTTTTTTTTATCACAAAAAGCAAGACCCTCAGGACACAGTTATCCAAGGAACTTTTAAATAAATAATTAAACGAGAGCCCTTGCCCTCATTCCAAATTTCTGAAAAACATACAGGCCTTTGTCAATTCACTGCTGGCACACAATACTTCCTCATGCTGTGTAGGACATGAGCGTTGTTTGACCATACGTCATCACAGAGGTCATTGTGGGTTAGTGATGAGGCCAACTTGTGTTCCAACTGAAGAGTCCTTTTAATGTACGACACTATTTTTTTTAAGGTGAGTTGAAGGAAGAACAAATACCAACGCCCAACGAATGTACAAAACAACCGATCTGCTCCCAAAAATATTTCATCAATCTGCCATAGCATCAGTGTGATCGGGTAGTTATGACTGCTTTGAAACATTGTAATCATAAAACAGTAACCAATATCTTGACTTAAAGCTTTCGTGACTGCAGGAATACATATTCTATGGGTCTTTCAGTAAAGCCACGTAGATAGAAAAATAATAAAAATATCACGACGTTTCGATCGCAACACAAGCAATCGTCTTCAATTGCTGTTTGCTTTTAAATGTTTGTAACCTTAAAACTGGGAGCAATAAATAAGCAACATCAACAAATGGCTTCTGTTTCAGGTTTAAAACATGAAAATGCCAGTGTAATGACTGTTAGACAAGCGGTGACAGGGTGAGCTGATTACTCTAACCGTAGTGTCACCCAGTCAGATATAATATGGAAATGCAGCACTACATTTGTTTCTTTAAAAATGCATTGATCTATTTATTTGTACATAAATCCAGGTGGTGTTTCATGCTGACCCTTAGAAATTAGGCTCCTTGTCCTGGCGGACGGACCTACCCGATTGATATGGAAGGGAGCGGAGGCAGGAGAGACAGGGGATACAGGCGAAGGTGGTGGAGAGAAGTGGAAGAGCTCTGGCTTGAAGCTGGAATTGGCGATGATCATGCACTCCTCCAGGGTCTTTAGAAACGTGCCGCATGTGGCATCCAGCAGTGATGATGCTTCATTCATTTTCTGAAAACACAGGCAATGTATGAGTGCTGCGGAGTAGGACGAGGAAAACTCATGTTACTTTTGCAAAGCGAGCGATGCACAGCTTAGAATGTGTTTTTAGATAAACTTTATCATTGAAAAAAACCCAATGTTAAAAAACACAAACACCTCCATATAATTCAATATAGTTACATGGGGGTGGAAGGGAAGGATACAGAATTGTAGATGTAACGAGAACGGTAATATAGATCTCCAGAGAAGGAATAATGAGTGTTGCACATCGGAGAACGGGGTAAACGGCTGCCATTGAAGCAGAGGGACTTTGTTTATGTTTATAGAGATGCATGTGCATGAGAGTAATTACACTTGTTAATAAAAATGAGAACATAAACAAAGCCCAATTATATGACACCATAGGAAAGATGATCTGATGAACATTAACAGGTGTGCAGTCTTACTTCCATGTCAGGCCGTGTCCGACTCTCTCCTGGCTGGAGGGACTCCCGCACTGTGTTTATCTGCTGTTTTATCAGGTCGCTGTAGAGTCGCAACTCTGACATTTTGGTTTTGAGGAAGTCGCTGGTCTCGCTAATCTCTGCACAAACAAAAATGAAAATTAACCCTCAAAATGAAACATTACCAGCAAAGTCTTACAGAGTTCCCTCCATATGCTGAAAATACTAGTTCTATATGTAAAGTTTTTTATAATTTTAATTCAAAACCATCATCAGCCATTTGCTATCCACAAATCTCAAAATTGTTGAAGGCTTCCCCACACTTTCACCATTTCTCACAGTCATGTGACACTGCAATCCAGCTCATTCCTGTACACTAACTGATCGCAACGCCCCATATCTCCACCATTCCATCACTAGTCTCATCCATTGGTGATCATTAATTTTTGCGATATATTCTGCCCATCAAATCAATATGATGTCAATATGAAGTGAATAATTTACATTTGCTCCCTGGTCCATGCTTTATTATTACTGCTTCTCAGTTTAATTTTAAGAATAAATCTATCCATACTTCTTTGCACACTTTCCAATTTTTGCTTAATTTTCTTTGTCACTGTGGATGTTTACGATCCCTATGTCACACCGGGAAATAAGCACTGATTGATAATTAATTCATCAGGTACATAGATACACTGCTTTTCATTAACAAATTTGGTTTTCCAAAACCTAATGATGTTCATTTTCATAATTTTAAGACAGATAAACTATTAATAATTTTGCAGCTTGTATATATTCTGTCGTGTTTTTCAAATGTTGTCCTTAACAATTGATTATGCTTGGCAAACTTGTATATACTTTTTTACTTAATATTTATTTTGAGCTAAATTTTTCAGGCTTCTATGCAACATTCATTGATTGTATGACATCAGCAAATTTGAGATGGCTATCCTCTCTCCATGAATGTTTATGCATGAATGTTTATGCATGTATTTGTCAATTCCAGTTTTCTAAAAATATCTTCAATGTTTGCTCAAAGTAACCGTGGTGAGTGTACCTCCTCGCTCGACTCCTCTTTTGAATTGTAATTTTCTACTGCCCTTATGCAATCTCAGTATAGCTGTTCTATGTTCATGAAAAGTGCAAATACTTTCTACATATTATTTATTAAAGCCTTGTTTTTTTTATTTGGACTGAATTTGGTTGCATTGACTGAAATGCCACATCCAGTCTACAAAAGCTAAGAAGAATGGTATTTTAATGGTATTTACATCAATTTGTCTTCTTTGGGTCTTTCGGTTTGTTTTTTTCCTGATGACGATCGCTTGTGTTGTGATCGAAACGTCGTAGTTTTTTGTTAATTTTATTTTCATGAATTTGAACCTATCTACATGACTTTACCAAAAGACCCAAGGAATATGAATTCCTGCCGTCACGAAAGCTTTAAGTCAAAAATTAATTTGTCTTTAAGAGCACCTGATTGATCAATGGTAAAAAATATCTCCAAAATCCAGATTGTTCAAACCATTGGTTGGCCTCCAAAATGTCAAGTATTTGGTTTCAACAATCTACATCGAAAACATTACGCACATGTGATCGGAGGCTAAAGGATCTGCAATCAATTATTGTGGCCACAAAATGTGAAAGGCTCTATGGCTACATATATGTCATGCATGAATTTAAACCATTTAAATAGCCCCATTGAAAGATTATAAATGTATATCATGTGCTCTACTTTTGATTGTTATTAATATTATTATTACATAAGCTTGAAATAATATTGCTACGCACCTCCGAATAGCATGGTTGGCTATGTATAGTACAGAAACAGAAAATTTCATGTAAAAATCGCAGTCAAGGGTAGCTCAGTCTACCGTCTCTTTGGGGTCAATGATGAAAGTAATCTCTAGGAATTCAAAATACATTATCTTGTGGAGAAACCAATATATGGCGAAAAGAATATCTAATTTCCATAATTGCCTGAAGAAAGGCAATGGAGATGACATCAGCCAAATGCTTATTTGAGAATGGGGACGCAATTTGATTCAAATAATTGGTTCGTTTCAGCCATGTTTTCATATCTCATAGGCTCGATGACATTCATTGTATTAGCTTAACGGTACCGTTTGCATATTACTTAAAATAATGTGTCTTTATGCAGTATTTGATGTATCATAAGCATAACAAGTGATTGTATTTAACGAGTCGATCAGTGTGTATATCCCAACCTTTCTCTTTCTTGGAGCGGCTGTCATGCAGGCAGGCCTTGGAGCTGCCCAGGGCCACAAGCCAGGATTGGCGTTCAGCGGCGTTCATGGCCGCAGATAAAAGTGCTGCTCCCAGGGATGACGAGATCCAAACGCGTGCCATCTGATGAATGCACTGCCCGCAGACACAAGACACGATGCCACCGGTTCTACAATGACCACTGCATTGTGCTCTATATCCCATTGATGCCAATTTATTAAACACTATTCAGCATTCCAGAGCGTTGTGGGATGCTGTTGGCATGAATGACGCTATATACAATTAAAGTATTATTATTGTTATATGATTTGGATCTGTAAAGTGTATAAATATGGCCATATCCCCAGATGCTTAACAAACATGTGCTTCATGCAGACATGGGTGATGGGAGGCTGTGATGAGGGAAATTCAGAGGAAGAAAAGTGTGAGTTAGACATATGCAGAGTAATGAAAACTCCTAAACGTGAACTTGAACATGGGGGAGATAGCAGAGACTGTTTAAAACCAGGTTTATTGCTCTATGTTGGCTTCTTAACAGTTCGGTTTCTCTCAAGGGATTATTTTTACTATTTGAATATGCAGACATTCATATTAACACATAATGCAAGTTACAAACAAAAGTAAGCCTGATTATGTTTACGAATTGATCAATAATATATTTTTTCAGAATCAGATTCTTTACCAATATAATCTTATTCCACTGCTTTCCCTTCAAAATTAATAAAACACGAAGTTAATTCTAAAATAATGAACTTCATAGGGTTTGTGCTTTTCAAAATTGTACATTAGGCTTCACCCCATCCACCACGCATACCATATGATATTGATAATAACAGAACATGCCTAAGTGTGCTGTCCTAATTATATTCCCATTACTGTATTTCTTAGACTTCGGTGATGATCAAATGCATCACCTCGCCTTGCAATTGTGAAAAGCATTTGTGTACATAAGATATTAGCAGTTTGTGCATCGTAACAGAGCACTCACCTTGTATCTCGCACACTGCCATTTTAATGCTGCCCTTGCAGCCCTTACTGACATCATCCTGGGAGTCGTAATACGAGAGAATACCACCATCCAGAACAAACCACCGTGGCTGCCAACCTGTCAATACAGCAATAACCATCAACAATACAACAAATCTCGCATCACTGCACCAACTTCAGTATTCCAAGTAAATCATTACTGTAACCAGCCCCTCAACACTCATTATCTACTATCTGTCATAAGTCATAGAACTCCTGATGGAAAATGCACCATTTACAGGTTATTAGAGGCTCGGTAGGATTCTTCCTTACAGGCTAATCCTAAATCTAACCTGCACATACACCCGCACAATACTATTGCTGCAGAGATACATATTGATTTTGTAGTGATAAACATTTTTGCTGCCAAAAAAACACAATGGATAATAACCCTATGGAAGACATTATCCCAACTAGTCTACAGCTTGTCATTATTTGTGATCACAGATTTTAGAACTAAAGTAGACAATGAGAATAGGTTTTCCCCTTTTATCTGGCAACAAAACAGGTGTTGAGATGTTAAAACACCAAACCGAAACCTTTTACAAGGAATCATGTATGCATTAACTACAATACTTGTGGTTAGAATGCAAACCAAAAACACACTCTGATAATATATGCATTGTCTTTGAAACTAAATTAGACATGTAGTTTATGAAACATACATATACAATTATTGACATTATACTATAGTAAATTGAACTCACAGAAAATCATTATTACCAAAAGACCCACACAGACAAATATTATCATCACTGATTGACAACTCATCTATCTTTAGGGAATGTGTTATTTAGTTGGTCTCTTAAATTGCATGTGAACCTATAGGTCGCATTTTACCTAGTTATTTAAACCTGTCATATAGTTACATTGTCGCAATGGGACCAAAAATATGGTGAAATAATGTGAAATGGGCACTAGTCAACCGGGATGATAAAAAGCTTATTTCACATTGGCCTGATATGCCAGTGGAGGAGGCTGGTGATAAACATTTCAGAGCCATGGAGGGCAAGAAACGCGCCACTCGGGTTTAGGCTGATGGACCGGTTCGACGTTTTTAACAATCAGCACTTTGCCAAAGATAGTTTTCCCTGAGCAAAGTGATGCAACCTGTATTCTCTGTCAAAATTCAAAGACAAGAATCGAAATATACTGTACCAGCTTTGCTGGCAGATCACTCGGCCAGCCAATAGGTGGCATATCCGTATTGCCATCATCATCATTTGTCATGGTCAGTCCACTGCTGGATGAAGCAATTCAAAAGTTGTCGCTATCTCAGAATCCGTGTCATGAGAATGACGGTGCAGACACTGACACCTTGGTTGGACAATAGGTAAATGTGTGGATGCTGTGAAATGTATATGACGCGATGCAACGTGTGAGAATAATCACATGTTACTTGTAAATACAGTATATTATAGTTACTTGCACGTAACGTAAACCAGACTACTGTTAGTTATTTCTATGACAAGAATGTATTGTACTGTATATGAAATGATACCAATAACTTTAAACTGCCCTTGGCATTGTTGAAAAATATGTTACAAACATGAACATCACAAGTTAAGAACCCTAACGTTCTTCGGAAACACTGCCCTTGTACTAACCTACCGATACAAAACATTGTATACAAAACGCCACTGCCATCATTTGCTTGGAGCAACATTCTTGTATATACAGCCTTTCCACTATATTGTCTGTAAACTACCTTAAGCCGGCGTTAAAATATTCAGAACTTGGGATTGCAGCGTTGATTTTATCACCTACAGCACCACACGTCTGAGACGTCCCTGTCAAGCCAGACTGGACAGGGGGTTACCTTAAGCCTTGACAAACCAAGCAGCCCATGGCGAACTATAAACAGTGTCATATAACTTTTCCTTAGTCTCACAATGCATGCTGCTGGCACCAACCATCACGTTCAATGCCAGGCTATTTTCACGTGTCAAAGTTCAACCCTCATATGCCTGTCCTGGCACACCCATTGTGGACGTAAAAGCCACCACCACGACGCTCTGCTCACTTTAAACAGAATGATTGCCAATGGCCTAACATGTCATTATAAAAGGTAAGGATTTCAAGACGTCAATGCTTGAGAGGGCTATTGCAACGCCTAGAGCAGTAACCAACAAGCCAAGTCGTCTTGCTTAATTTTAAAATAACCAATCTGACTTTGCGGTGTATTCGCACAGAGCCGCGTTACGCTGCCTCGAAAGTGCTTTGACCATCTCTACCTTGAAGCTCTACGGAATGTGGCCGTGTTCTCATTCACGCATCTTCTCGTTCGTATGGATCTGAAGAGGGCACGAATCGAACAGTGGCACCCCGACATGTCGCATGTCTCGATGGTGCCACAAGCACCTCACATCCTCGTTATCGATCGTCTGTCCCGACTTCACAACTACACAGCCGTCGAACCGCTCTTGGGGTGAGGTGAGGACGTGGTGACAGGGCGAGAGAATCGGGCTGAGGGGGTGATGTAGTGGGGGTGGATGGTTGAGGATGAGGAGAGATTCGTGGTGAGATTTCAGAATGAAGAGGTGAGTCGCGAGTGGTGACGGGTGAGAGGCTGGGAGTGAGGAAAAGGGTGAGGAGGAGTGAGTTGGTTGAAGGGGTGAACGCTGACGATCACGACCCGAGTCGAGTGGCGGTGGTGGTGGTGATGCTGGAGGAGGAAGCAGGGCTGACAAGAGGATATGGAGGCTCAACAACAACAACAACAAAATCAGCGTCCACCACTTTCCCCGGGGGGCCACAACCACAAGACGGCGGAACCGTTACGACGACGAGCGGCGTCCAGACGATCCGCTCAGTGTCGGGGGGCGCCGCTTGCAGTACCGAGAGCCGACAGCTCCGTCACCCCACGGGTCTCCCTTCGCCTCCGCTCAGCTCCACTCGCGCCGCTCACCGCTCAGGTAGTTTGTCCATTTGTAGAGAGAACCCTCCATCGCCAGGCCGCGTCTCGCCGGCGTGACGTCACCGCCACCGACGCCCCGCCCCCCCCTCCCTGCGCGGTCACGTGCGCGCCACCGGAAAGCCGACGTCATCGCGCGCGCGCGAGCCCGCGCCGTGTGTCTCGTGACGTCATCGCGCGCGAGAGAAAAGCCGTGTCTCGTGACGTCATCGCGCGCGCCAGAGAGAGGACTTACAGGTGGCGCGTGACGTAATCGCGGGCGTGAGGGGAAAAAACGTGACGTAATCGCGGGGGTGAGGGGAACAAAAACTTGTCTCTCGTGACGTCATCGCGCGCGCGAGAAAAGCCGTGCCTCGTGACGTCATCGCGCGAGAGAGAACTTACAGGTGGCGCGTGACGCAATCGCGGGCGTGAGGGAAAAAAAACTTGTCTCTCGTGACGTCATCGCGCGCGAGAGAAAATCCGTGTCTCGTGACGTCATCGCGCGCGCGAGAGAGAGAACTTAGAGGTGGCGCGTGACGTAATCGCGGGGGTGAGGGGAACAAAAACTTGTCTCTCGTGACGTCATCGCGCGCGAGAGAAAAGCCGTGTCTCGTGACGTCATCGCGCGAGAGCGAAAGAGAACTTACAGGTGGCGCGTGACGTAATCGCGGGGGTGAGGGGACAAAAAACGTATCTCTCGTGACGTCATCGCGCGCGAGAAAAGCCGTGGCCGTGACGTCATCGCGCGCGCCAGAGAGAGACTTACAGGTGGCGCGTGATGTAATCGCGGGCGTGAGGGGAAAAAAACTTGTCTCTCGTGACGTCATCGCGCGCGAGAGAAAATCCGTGTCTCGTGACGTCATCGCGCGCGTGACGAAAAAACTTGGCTCTCGTGACGTCGAACGCGCGCGTAAAAAGAACCGGCTGCGTGACGTCATCGGGCGCGCGTTAAAACCCATTCGCGTGACGTCATCGGGCACGCGTGAGAAACTCGCGACGTGACGTCAAATCGCTTCTGAAAATAGATGCACAGTGCAGCTCGGTGGGCTTTATCTGGTAAAATAATAAGTTTAGTCTATTTATTTTTAGCGATTTTGCTTACCCTTCCTATATGTTGCACTCGTATCGTTGTTGTGTTTTGTCTGTTGTGTAACTTTCTCATCCGCCCCTACTGGACATTTGTTAAAAAATAGCTTCATAGCTCATCGGATTTCTCCAGGATAAATACCGATGCTCATTATAATTGTGGCGTGACTTCACATCCATTAAAGACCCTTGCGGGTCGTGCGGGTTCATTTGACCAAACTTCTAAACCAGAATCTGTATTGACACTGGAGGAATCCGACGAGCTGTTAAGCTCTTTTAAAACAGACGTCCAGTAGGTCAGAACGTTACAATACAAAAACACATATGCGTGTAAATTATAGGAAAAGCTAAACAAAGCACTTTTCAAATACACATGTAATGAGCGTCTCCGACACGATAAGAACTTGAATCGTTTATTAATAATCTTCGGTACAGCCTGGGTTGTCTCTCGTCTCTTCTCACTCGCACTACGGATACATGCCGCCACGTGGCGCTTACCCACTCTCTAGCACGCCACGTGGCCGACGGAGATGGCCTTGCTCCGGCCCCCCGCTTATATACCCTCCCGGCGACTAAACCACGCCTCTGGCCACGCCCCTCATGGAACCTTCGGGAGCGTTCCAAAGGCATCCCGGGTGGCTCCGTCCCATTGCCGTTGGCCGAGATGGAATCATACTCTGAGGTTTTTTTTTCGGTAAAGTCACGTAGGTAAAAATTAATAATAGAAATTATAATCGAAATAAAATATTATTTCTAATTTTTGTATTATTTATGTTTATTATAAAAATAATAGAAATAATATAATAAAATAATAAAATATAAATATAAAAAAATTATTTTTATTTTTTATGTTTATTATTTATTTTCCCCGACGTGACTTTACCGAAAAAACCTAAGAGTATGAATCCTTGCAGTCACGAAAGCTTCAAATCTAGAACGAGATGGAATCCTTCCCCTAGATCAGGGGTCGGCAACCTACGGCTCCGGAGCCGCATGCGGCTCTTTACGGGCTGCTTCTTGACGATGAGTACGTATACTCAGATGCATTGCGGCTCTTGAAATACTGAATTTTGTACCGAATTGGAAAGAAATGGCTCTTCTTGTTATTTTGGTTGCCGACCCCTGCCCTAGATCAAGGGTCCCAAACCCCCGGGCCGCGGACCGGTACCGGTCTGTGGCCTGTAGGAACCGGGCCGCACAGCAGGACGTGAGCGGTGAGTCCGCGGATGGCCCACAGATGTTTTATTGACCACCTCCGTCCGCGCCTCTTTCCCGCACTTGTCTCAGTCACAGTTTTGGTAAGCCCACAAGCTCTAAACCCTAGCCAAAATTAGTAAAAAAAAACGTCGCTGGAGAGCTTCTTTGAAAAGGGGGAAAAGACCCAATGATGACCCCCCCGGTCCGTGAAAAAATTGTCTTCTACGAAATGGTCTCTGGTGTCAAAAAGGTTGGGGACCGCTGCCCGAGATAACCCATAACTGCATATCACACAGAATGACGGTGCAGACATTGACACCCCACATAATACAGGAGATGGCGCTCTCATTACACATACAAATAAAATATATATTTTTACCAGTAAATCCCACGCATTAACTAACAAACCAGCCTCTCCAGGCTGAACTGAACTCCAACTGCCACCTTTCACCCCTTTTATTTGCTCTTCAACCCCCTTAACTCCCTTAATGGTCTTAACTGCCTGAACTGATAACTCGTGGATGTCCGCTGATCAACAGCTGCCGCTGCCCACCCACGGCGCCTGTGCCAGGCTGGGTGCACTTTGGAGGCTATCACGTGAAGTGGCAAAGGCTCGCTGCTGGCAGGAGGCCACGGAACAGATCAGCAAGTGCCATGGGTTTGACCGACTGAGATGACTGGCCGATGAACCACCTGTGCCCCTAACCTTATTACAGACAAATGCAGACCATATTGGTCACCCCGTGCCCTTATTAATCTCAACGTTCATCCTACAAAGTTTGTCAGATAAAATTTTTAAAGAACTCACCTTCAACTACTTTTTAACCTAATGGCTTGAGAGACGACCGGATGTATGGCTGATAGTGAATTACAATAAAAAAAAACTAAAAAACAACGCGAACAGCTTCGCTGTACTTGAGGACTTTTAATAAGTCAAATAAGAGCGGTGTTACGCGGCTTTCACTTAAAACTTTCACTCTACATATCTTTTTTGACGATCCCGCGATGTCCTTAAATGTGAATGAATGAAAATGTATCTAAACTTTAGTTGTCATCGTGACATTAACTTCTAAGAGCTATCACTTATTAATCAGTGAAAGAACTGTTAGGATTATTTGGGAGCTCTTAAGGGGTCTTAGGTTTCAAGTTTAATTGATTACGTATAGCCCTGTGAGCCATGCGGCTCTTGAGTCGGGTGCAACCGCAACAAACAAAATATGAACACAGAACATCTTAAAGCGACGGAGCGCACCCCGAGAGCGCGAGCCTCAGGCGGCCATCAGTGGAGAGCATGGGGCTCCCTCAGGGCAGCAGTGGAGAGAGCACGGCTCTCCCTCAGGGCAGCAGTGGACGGGGCACGGTTCTCCTCAGGGCAGCAGTGGAGAGAGCACGGCTCTGCCTCACTCTCACTCACTCGTCTCCTCACTTTCACTCACTCGTCTCTTGCTCGCGGTCACGTGACGCACTTCAACCAATCCGTGCCGCGTTAATCACAGACTCACAGAATGACAGAGCTGGGTGTTTATATATTAGTATATTTAATAACTTATAACAGCACTGTCAGGATGCTTTCCCAGGTAAATTGTTGCGTCGCAGTATCATGAGAGATTATTACAGCCTTCATCCATCAGTTTGTGCATTGAGACACATTCAATACGAAAGATAACGTAGAACATTTTACGTTGATGACAATAAACTTGCAGGTGTAATAATTTATTTTTAGTCACACTAAATGCATGTAAAGTACTGCAAGGTATGGTAATTAGTGATGTGACTAAGATTAAAAGCATAATAACCATGCATGTCATGATAATTTAGCATAATTAGAAGAGTGTCTGGGTTAGTGCTTACAATTTCATGGTACCTAAAATTGTAAGCACTAACCCAGACACTCTTCTAATTATGCTAAAGCCGGTGTCTACAAAAGACGTTTTCTCTTTAATTGAATCACTTCATTTGAAGTCATCTCCACTCGACGTGCTCCCAGGTTCCTTGTTCAAGCAATGTGCTCCGGAACTCGCCATCATGATCAGGAACATCGCAAATGCCTCCTTCTCTTCGGGGTGTTTTCCGTCCAACCTCAAATCTGGCCTGGTTTCTCCCTTGTAAAAGAAACCAAGTCTAGATCCGGATGACCCATCTAGTTATCGTCCCATCACTAACCTCTCGAACCTCTCTAAACTCCTTGAACGACTAGCCCTCGCCCAGCTAAAACCACACGTCACCTCCTCCGCAAACTACTACTGCTTCCAGTCAGCTTACCGTCAAAACTATTCCACAGAAACAGCACTCACTAGAGTGCTCGATGACATTTTAACGATCATTGATTCCGGCTCAACTGTTGCACTTGTAAGTCTGGACATTTCGTCAGCCTTCGACACCATCAACCATTCGCTCCTTACTTCCCTCCTGAAATCCGACTTCGGTATATGCGGCTCAGCACTCAAGTGGATAGCTTCGTACCTTTCTGACCGGCAATCTTCAGTCAGGGTGGGCATGTCCACATCGCCTGAAACAACAGCATTATGCGGGGTTCCCCAGGGCTCTGTTCTAGGTCCCCTGCTCTTCACAGCCTACACTTCCCCGATCGGCCGGCTCATTGCAAGCTTCGGTGTTAAGCATCACTCATACGCGGATGACACGATTCTATTCACCGCCATCGATTCTAGCAATGCATCTGGATTCGAGAGGCTCTCGGAATGTACCACCGCCGTGCAACAATGGTTCACTGCACACAACCTAGCCCTTAATCCGAAAAAGTCAGTGGCCATCATGTTAGGTACCAAGCAACGTCTCAATTCAGCAGCACTCCCCACACACATACACATCTTCGGTCACAGCATCAAGTTCACCGACCACTTCAGCTACCTCGGTGTCATCCTAGATTCAACTTTATCCTTCGACCGTCAAACCAACCATATCATCAGCTCATGTAACTTTCACCTGAAGGCTCTTAGACACATACGTCCTCTCATCTCTACTGAAATTGCCAACACTTTGGCATGTTGCATAGTTGGGTCTCGCCTTGACTATTGTAACTCCGTCCTTGTCCGGACCTCCGCTGGCAACCTAAAAACTTCAAAGACTACAAAATAACCTAGCACGCGTCGTCATTGCCCACACTCGTCCCCGTGCTCTCAACTGGCTCCCCATCGCCAGTAGGGTCACATACAAGACCGCCTGCCTCTGCCACAATGCCTTCATATCCGCCTGCCCGCCGTACCTTTCTTCATTATTGACAACTTGCAGCTCAGCACACGGCAGATGCCTGCGCAGCGCGACTCACGACCTCCTCTTGATACCAAGATCCAGGATGGTCATGTCTACGCGCCGCTTCTCGGTGGCAGCCCCAACAGTCTGGAACGATATCCCTCTGCACATTCGCAGCATCACCTCAATCGCCTCCTTCAAGAGACACTTAAAAACTCACCTCTACAATCATGCTTTTGAGCGACTCTGAGCTTGGCTCCGCGCCTCTGAGTTGCGGCCACTACGTCTGCAAATTTGCGCGCGTTACAAATTGAACTATTATTATTAATGTACTGTATGTCCTTTACTGTACATATTTTAGTCAAGCAAAAACAGGATGTATTGCAGTTTGAAGGAATATTACCAAAATAAACAAGGTTTAATTTATTCAAGCAATGAGTATAATAAATAAATTACACTATATATCAACATCAAAGGTCACAGCTTAATATATTTATGCATATCTTTCATCCAAGGGTACATCCAAACCTGACAGGTGAAAGTCTAATCGCCAATAAGGTTATATTATAGGACCTCCTTTGCCAGAACCAAAATATGATAATAGGTTTTCCCCTTTTTCTAGCAACAAACAGGTGTTAAGATGTTAAAGCACCAAACTGAAACCTTTTAAAAGGAATCACGTCTGCACTAACCACAATATTTGTGGTCAGAATGCAAACAAAAAACACACTGATAATATATGCATTGTCTTTTAAACTGATTGGTCCACACCAGAGACAGCTTTCTTTTGAGCCAATCTCAAAACGGCGTCCTCTGGTCTAACACCGTCGCTCCAGGTGTGCCCATCACCTGCCCGCTCCTGGCAGGGGAGAGGTCCCCTTTCTGAGGCCAAAGGCACGCCGCCCCTTCCTCGGGTCCGGGGGAAAGGCAGTTGTTGCGAGGCCGTGGCATTACAGCTATACTTTGCTAATTATTACTTTGAACATTCACTTAATGCCTCTTCTCAGCTAAAGCAGTCAAGATGAGACAAAGAACATGGAAAAAACACCCTCACAAATCCCATAATTCAAGGGTATCTAATGCATGCGACGAGGTAACATATTTAATCTTTACTCATGGGTATATTCATAGCACTTGTCTTGCATAAATCTAGCAGGAACATGCCCATATAAAGTAGAAGATTTAGACTATCATTCTCTTGGTTAAATCTTTAATCATAAACCACACCCTTATACAGTGAGGGAAAAAAGTATTTGATCCCCTGCTGATTTTGTACGTTTGCCCACTGACAAAGTAATTATCATTCTATAATTTTAATGGTAGGTTTATTTGAACAGTGAGAGACAGAATAACAACAACAAAATCCAGAAAAACGCATGTCAAAAATGTTATAAATTGATTTGCATTTTAATGAGGGAAATAAGTCTCCAGACCTTAATCCCATAGAAAATCTGTGGAGGGAGCTGAAGGTTCGAGTTGCCAAACGTCAGCCTCGAAACCTAATGACTTGGAGAAGATCTGCAAAGAGGAGTAGGACAAAATCCCCCTGAGATGTGTGCAAAGCTGGTGGCCAACTACAAGAAACGTCTGACCTCTGTGATTGCCAACAAGGGTTTTACCATCAAGTACTAAGTCATGTTTTGCAGAGGGGTCAAATACTTATTTCCCTCATTAAAATGCAAATCAATTTATAACATTTTTGACTTGCGTTTTTCTGGATATTGTTGTTGTTATTCTGTCTCTCACTATTCAAATAAACCTACCATTAAAATTATAGTACTGATCATTTATTTGTCAGTGGGCAAACGTACAAAATCAGCAGGGGATCAAATACTTTTTTTCCTCACTGTATAGCAAAACATAATCAGTCGCATTTGCAGCCTTGAGCACAAAATGGGTACGAGGGTTGGGTCTGCCCATGTCGGCTGGGCTGGGGCGAGTGTTTTGGGTGGAGACAATAAATAGCCAGGCATGAACACGCAGCTGGCAGTGGAACACCACGCAGCCAGTATAGTTTCCACGTGAATTTACAACAATGGCAGACGTCTCGACAGCAGCAGTGACCCTTTCCGATGGTCACAACATGCCTCTGCTTGGCCTGGGCACATGGAAGGTACATCACACTGCACCCCACACACTCGATTATTTGCACCCATCGTCAGAACCTGCATTAAATTAAAATGTATATAAGAAGATGAAAAGTGCATCCAATGGACAGGAAAAGATGCACTTCACAAATGTGCGTGCTGTACAATCAATGGCGGAGCCAGGATTTTCAGGTAGGGGGGGCGACCTATCCAGCAATGAAAAATGATAAGAGGAGTTGTTAGTAAGTAAGGACTTGTCCCTTGCTTTTTATTCGATGCGTGTGCGGCGATGGCGCAGCCATCGATCGAAGGTCGAATTTGAACTGCGTTATGTGATCGGCATCGCGCTCACTGAAGGTGTTGATGCCTTCAGTCGTGTACTGTATAAGCAAATGCGCACAATTCTGTGAGTCACTTATAACTGCTTTGCCGTTAATTATTGCCCATTATGGACTCAAGACTATTGTCCTATCATTTCATAGAGTCCCTGGCACGTAATAATATGCTGCACAGTGGCAGTGGGGGTCGCAAAATGCGATGTATTTCTAATAAACCACAATGATCCGATCGAAATTAGGGATTTCGATCGGATCATTGTGGGGCACGTGCCACCCCACCCCCACTGGCTCCGCCAGTGTGTACAATGGTTATGTCAGATATCGTGAATATTCTTGTGTTTCGATTAATTTTGAATGCGTGGCTCTGCTGTAACTATATATTAAATTTAACAACACGTTTTTTTTCTCCAACTCATAAAATGAGAAGCATAGTGTACGGATGTTATATATACTAGGATTTGAAAGACTTCTTTACTGAAAAGTTATTGTAATAACAATGTACATTTATCTTTGAACAGGTTTCACAAGTGTGGGTTAAGTCTGTACTTGACATGCAATTGCATTCCAATCACTGTGGAAAAGTTGTCCATTTGATCATGATCCTCCTATATCTCTTATATCTAGGCATTTGACTAGGTGATATGTATGTTGAACTTCTTTCGCACCGTACGTAGCCAACTGTGCTAATCGGAAGTGTGGGGGGAGGAACGACAAACTAAACGCAAAAAAGCAGTTCTAAAAAATTCGGTTTCCAATCTAGATTTAAAAGTGCATAGCTCCAGTGGCTTCCTAATATCGGAAGGAAGAGCATTCCAGACGGTCGTAGATGCACAACCGAAGGGCGCAGTGACCATCTTTGTTGTGTCAGCCCAACAACTCTCCAGGCTCGATCATGTAATTACAGTTTTATGTAAGAGGTCAATGGGGAAATTCTACAAAGAACTAAAATACATGTTTTTAATCAGGTAAGGCCCACTGAGCTAGAAATATATTTTTCAGAAGCGACCTGGCCACAAATGATTGCTTAAGGAAGTGGCTTATCACGTGGAAATGTACATGAGCCAAATACTCTAAAAGCGTGTTCATTCTAAATGTGGAGGGGAAAACCGGAGGACCCGAATAAAAATCCGTGCTACTCCAAATATACAGGCGTTAGGGATGGGATCGAACCTATGACCGGCAACCTGTATACCAGGCGAGGTAGGTAACATCTCGCCAGGGCGGCTGGAGATGTGGACCACAAACAGAATGTCGGTTGAAAGCCAAACTATGCTGTGTCCGGATAATAATCTTGCGAGGTAGATTTAACGCCGTTTTGAGCTATTGTACAAACTATAAAAAGACTTGTAGCTGGACTTAATAACGAGAACTTGCTTATGATCGAGTCGGTAGTTTAATATGTTGTGGTCTTCCTATGGGACAAAAAAAATAATTCGAATAAAAATCTTCTCCTGGCCTGTATGTGTGAAAATAAACGACTCGTTACAATTTTAATGTCGATAATTCCTTTCTCAATAATTGAGTATGAAAACATGTCACAGTGCAGTACTGCAATAAGAGACCACTGTACGGGACAGCCATACGTAGCTAGACAAAACAATCAATGGTGTAACTTAGTTTTATTTGTATCGTATATTTTTGAGCCTGGGTTAGTGTTTGGATGGGCGACTACGTTGTCAGAAGAGGGCATTGCAGCGAAACTCATTGCCGATGTGTACTTTGGCCCAATGTCAAAGCGCCCCACCTTAAACACACTTCACCAACCAGCGTCGTCAGACTGCGTATGGTGAAATAACCCGCACGACTGAGAGTGACTGTTCAAACACAAGTCCACTGTCTCGGCCTCGCTGTGCGCTGCGTTGCACCACTATCCAAGTAGATAACCTCGCATCCAATAAACTTTCAGAGCCAGGGTGAACATCCGACTCCAAACGAATTTAATGAATTGAACGAGGTAAAACTGATGGAAAAACACAGCACAAATACAGCATATGTTAATACTTGGTAATATCAATACAATGAATGAACACTACAACATCATAACATTGTCTTAGATAACATGAACTCAACAATAGATCCTGGATCGACCAGGCACCTACATTAGTACTGAATAGCTATACAAGAGAATAAGCTGTGTTAAGGGCACATCGTGTAATCAACATGCTGCAGCCTAAATGTACAGTACTACACATAACACTGAATTGTGCATGAGATATTTCGTCATCCTTGCTCTCAAGATCGCAATAAGGTTACATGGGTACAAGTCTGACTCGACTTATTCAATTACAGGTAACATTTACAATAAGGCAAGTTGCAGGCTTCGTTGTTAACTAGGCCTCGTATTTATCATAACAATTTAACAGCATTACATATCCATTTACAGCATTATAACGGCATTCCCAGTATTATAAGAACATAAAAAAACTTACAGACAATGCTTCTTAAAGTCCCACAATGTACAGTTACAGCTGATTCACTGGGACGTGATTTGTGCCACCATCTTGAACTCTGTGCAATGGCGGACGCCAGCCTCGTGGCTGAAAGACTGTCAAATCGTAACTTCCTGGCCACGTGACCAAACTCAACCTCAAAACAGGAAATTCCTGTATACACACACCCCCACTTCTGGCGTGGAGCAAAACACCTGCCGTGAGGCAGAACATCCACCATCAGCCACAAACAGCTATCGTTGCACGAGATTGACATTCTTATGGGCATAGGTTGGTGGGCGCAATGCTCGGGCCCGCACGAATTGGTGGGTTAGGGGCCGTCCATAAATGACGTCGATTTTGGACGATTTTTTATGACATCACAAAGCTCTGCCTCCCCCCAAATAAAACATGCTTCAAATCGCTTTAAACTATTGTCATTGTAGTGCGTATTTAATGTGGCGCTGCACTCTGATGTTGTAGTAGAAAACATGTATTAAAAGTCAATTTAATTAAGTAGAACGTATTGTCTATATTTATTTTAAGTTACACATTTTGATGTGACGTCACATTTCTCACCCCCCCCCCTCCCCTTGTCACACATCGTCACAAATGTCTGACCCCCCCCCCCCCCCCAGGTGCGTGGCGTCATTTATGGACGACCCCTTATATCATAAACAGCGGCACATTTTTTTTCAAAATCAACAATTGAATGCGCTGTGCGGAATTGGTTATTCACTTGCTGTATATAACGTTGAAAAACGCTGTACAGTATCCTGATAAAGAATAACCATGTTAACCTGTTCCCACTCCAGTTGCACAATTTAAGGCTGTCCATTACGCCTTAAACAAATAAGCATTGCTCCCACACCTACACGCTCCCTACAATAATGCCAACTCACGCAACGACCGCTTTTCAATTCTACGTAATTAATCAATCTGTGGTTTGGTTGGCGATCGCTTGTGACATTGCGCAATCAATCATTTCCCCTGTACAATCACAATCGTCCCACAGTAAACATGCAACGGTGGGCCAACGTGCAACGTCAACATTTGCCCAAGGTTGCATGGCTTTGGTGTTGGGGTATAGATTGTAGTGGTGAAGCAGGGGCGGTTTCTTCATTAGGGCGATTGGGCGACGCACCACCAATGTATTCAACCACAGAGTCACGCGAGCCGTCACTGTGCCTCTGGATATAGTCCAATCAGCGTCATGCTACGTTCTGTGGAGTACCGCCTCTTTTTGGGCGATTTCCCTCCAGCTGAGAATCGCCCCGAGTGGCCCCATAGACTTACATTCAAAGATGTTTTTTTTTCGAACGGGGGCGCTGCAATGCATTCTCTATGGCTTCCGGGAGGGCTCGCCCTAACGTGCTTACGTCATCATGCGTGCTTACGTCATCATACGTAAGCACGTTTCATCCAACAATATAATTTGTTGCCACCTAGTGGAATCTTTAATAAAATAAACTTGAGTGGTTTGTTTTAATAGTGAGTATAGAAACAAACAAGATGTATTGTAAGAGTCACTTTATTTTTCATTAATATTAAAGAAGTGAAGTTGCCTTTACATGCTTAAGCTGTTAATTTATCCATTGCATGGGTGGACCTTATCCTTATCAATCATCCAGACATTTACCCCCCCTGAGAGATTTGCAGGAGCCGCCACTGTGGTGAAGTTGGCGTTATAAGCTGTGGTGGTGGTGGTCAGTGTTGTGCAATTGCCTGTGTATGACAGCAGGAGCCAGAACTGCCTCAACAATGAGTGTGGCTCTTAGCAGATGGGGAGAGACCGAGATGCGAAGGCACGAGAGATACAGAGACACAGACACGGCTTAGATCAAGGGCCGGTGACCTTTGAAAGAAGAAGAGACATTCTTTAGTTTTTGTCTTTGACCAATAGAGTTCGAGAGCCGCATCACACGCAGAGCTACTTTGACACAAACACAACAGGTTTACGACAGATGACAACACACATTCTGACTTAAATAAACTAAATGCGTGATGGTATAAACTGCGTTTATTTTGTCCCCCCCCCCCCCCCCCCCCCCGTTAGTTATTTTTTAATAGCACAGTTTGACTGTTGTACATTTTGTTGTCACCAGGACATTACATAGTGACCCATTCCCTGCAACATTTACTCAATCATCTTTACGCAGCCAAAGAGCCGACCCTAGGCTAGACAGAGATAAAGAGAGAATGAGACATATTTTATACACACGTACAGCTTTTGCAAGTCGATTGAATACAGATGTTCATAAGTTCAAGTGTAAAAGAATAAAACTGATTTGTTTGAATGTAAAGGTGTGCCTCAATGCCATTCAAAGTGAGGACTGGGTTTAGCTGTAGTGAAGAAGATGGTGCTTATCAGATGAGTTAACCATTTAGTCAACATGTACTACACTGTAACTTATTTACATGCGTTATTCCTAAAGGTGTGACTTACAGAATGTTATCTTCAGGTAGGTATTACTTTTTTAACCTTGAGATTAAATTGTTAAGGAAAACAGTTGACTAAATCAATAAGAGTTCAGTCGAAATGTGTGCTGGGTAAAAATGCTTCCCGGCCAAGTGCTAACTCATCTCCGACCCTAATCTCATAATTGCTCGTTCAAGACCGGCCAAGCATGATTCACAATTGCTCATGTCTCGAATACTGTACCACATTTAACGTACAATCATGAATATCTGTACAGTATCTTCCAGCTCGGTCAGAAAGTGAATGTTGATTTTTTTTGTGTTCTTCCTGGTTCAGCAGTTCCATTGCTGGATTATTTTTTCCTCCTGAGGACGACCGCTTGTGTTGCGATCGAAACGTCGTGATATATTATTTTGTATTTTGTTTTATTTTTCTACCTACGTGACTTTACCGAAAGAACCAAAGAGTATGGATTCCTGCAGTCACGAAAGCTTCAAATCAAGATTGTTTTTTTTATTGAATAACTGATGTATAGTCCTGTAATTATATAATTATCAGTTCCATTATTTAATCAAAGAGAAAACCCCGATGATCTAATAAATGTTTACAAAGGTGGTGTTGATATCATGAACCATAAAGTATGGTGTCCAAGAATCATCTGAATGTTTTAATTCCGTGACCATGTTTTTTTCCGTTTGGTCTTCGTCTCAAAGGAACCTTGCACGTGTTTTGGCTTTAACATATATTATACTATAATTGTACGTTGTACACACACACCCCTTTCATCAATGCACTGCTAAATGAGGGCGTCCTTACGTAACGGGAGTTATTTGACCTTACAGTTGTTCACGCTGGTCGGTGGGAACACAGGAGCACAGTTCGTACAACTTGGTATTTTGATGAACTACCCTATGCTGCCCACACCTTTTCACAGCCGCGCGTTCGCTTATGGCAATCTGGCATGCATGGTGGTCACCCACCCCATTGCATATATTAATCCCTGGTGGCTTAGCTTCCCACAAATGAAGAGAGCGGGTTCGCTACGCTTGCTGAATAAGATTGTGAATAATAGGAATAGGGCCACAGACAATAGGAGTTTTTTTCACAGACCCTACAGTTGCCGTGAATACCACGGATAATAGGGCCATGGGAAATTTCTTGATATGGAGATAAACAGTGAAAAAACTGTTACAGATATAGAGAGACACACACACACTGATAGGCACAGAGTAGGGCTCTTCATATTTTACATACTTAAAGCAAAAAAAAATCAACAAACACTGCAGTGTTTCATATCTGCTTTGTGCTGTGTTTCCATCACCAGTCCAAGCCACAGCAGGTCTGCAAGGCCGTAGAGGCGGCTATCGAGGCGGGGTATCGACACGTAGATGGAGCCTACGTCTACCAAAATGAGGATGAGGTTGGGGCGGGTGTGCGTGCCTGCATTGCCAAGGGCATCGCCTCCCGAGACCAGCTATTCATTGTCAGCAAGGTGTGCATCCTGTACTCTATTACATGAATCATAAAGTTCAAGTCCATTGTGTATATTTATGCTGAATGACAGACTTGACCATCAATAGGAAAAACAAGTTCCTATATGAATTGGGCCCGTCGCCTTCTAACTCCAAATTATTTAGAAATCCACTGCCAAACTTTTCATTCACACCTTTAAATTCAACCACGTATTTGCTATTTCATTAGCTTCCTTGACTGATACCAAATACAATCACGAATCAACTACAAAATCACCCTGCCTCAAAAATCCCCAAGAGACTCACCCCTGCCTACCCTTTATCTTTCATCTTGATCGAGTGCCCCCTTCATTCAATCATATAAGGATTTATAGTAAAGTGCCAGTTGACCTTCACTCAATGGGAGGTCAGCCCTTCTCTGGAGCTGTTCCTGTTTTTTGGATCTCCACTTTGATTTCAATTATATTCCCAATATACTATTGGCATTCTGTCGCAGGTTAGATTAATTTATATTTGGATAATATCCGTGTGTCAGAAAATCGCCTTGAAATATTATATTAAAAACGACTTCTAATGTGCTTCACAAAGCTCTTACACACACTAGGGACACATGTTACATGCCTTGTAAAGAGATGTTTAATGGATGGCAATCACCCCAACATTTATATTTCTCAGAACTATAATATTTTGCATTGAGTGAAGAACCACATTTAATATGATGTTATTTTCTGATCACTAGGCTGAGACCATAAATTCCCTACATTTTAGAACTTGGTTTGATCACAGGTGGCCCCCCAAATGAAAACCAGGAACTCAATGGTACCAGCTCAGGGCTCTTACATGTATAATCCCCAAACCTATCCAGCCACCTTTACTAATTCTGTTGTGTGAAATTATAATGAATTGTGAGATCAGCCTATAACTGTTACTGTGCTTGTGTGTTGACTGTGAGCAGCTCTGGGGCAAGTTTCATGCCCCTGCCGATGTGAAGAAGAGTTTTATGAAGACACTGACCGACCTGGGGCTTGATTACCTGGACCTCTATCTCATGCATTCCCCCATGGGCTATCAGGTGTTGCATCAATAAATTATTACATTCATATTTCACTGTTATACACTGACAATATAAATGCATACGGACAATGGCAGCATGTTGTAAGCTCAGAGTAGAAAACGTACCCTGTATATTCAACCGTGAAGATGAAGTTGCGATGAGAGGAAACAGGTATTAGAGTGATCAGTAACCAAGGAAAGATCAAAAGGCAAATGGTGGGAAACTAAGAGTAGACCTTGGAGGATTGATTGCAAGAGCCAACATATTTACGTTGATGCAACTGAATTGTTGACAAATAATACTGTTCTACACAGCCACAATTTATAATTAAGTAATATATTGTACATATATTTGATGACTTTTTTCATTGCTGTATTGTATTTATAATTTTGTTATTCATGGACATTGGCATATTTTTTTATTAATAACCACTGCAAAACCATTCTGTTCTTTATAAACATGGGTTGTGTTTGCTGTCATATAAAATAGTTTAACTGGGAAAATGTATCCGCTTCCCAGTATCTCTTAAAATATGAATGCATTTATTTTAATTATCTTTCAAAAATAAAGTCAAAGCGCTTGACACGAAGCAACAATTAAGCGTTTACGATTTCAAATATTAATAATAACAAAACTGTGAAGACTGAACACTGAACAGGTATGTTTGATGCTACTTGGATAAATGAGATGTGCATTCGTTTACCTCGAGGCATATGTTATGGTGCTGTATCATTTTAACCGTGACTTTTCCCGTTTCAGAACGTGGGAGAGGAATTATTTCCCGCAAAGGACGGCAGGTTTCTCTTCTCGGACGTTGATTACCTGGACACCTGGAAGGTGCCAAGTGATGCTCTCAACAAATATAAATACAACAGCATGTTTATCCCGCAAACACACTTCACCTTCTATACCCTGCATGTCTACATGGGCTCTTATCTACCTTAAAATAAATGTAACATCACTTTTGACGTGTAAAGCAGCTCAAAGGAACCCTTCAAATACGTGCACATGCGTGTGCGCGCACATACATGGCCATTTGGTCAATGCACTGCTCGGTCATGGGTGTTATTTGACCATAGTTTTCTACTTCCGTTTGTGGAAGTTGAAGGTGGGGAGCATATCGGTTTAGTATAACAATGAATGTTGCTGCACTGCCACCTGCAGTACACATCGTGGCACTGGGAGCCATAGCTCAACGAATTTGAGGACAGCGGCACCAATTAAGTGCACTGCTGGATTAGCACAGCTTAGCATTGTGGGAGATTTGGTCGTATAAACTTTACGCATTTTACTTAAATTTGCCATGAAGTAGCTTTATGCAACACCATATGCAAGGCACTTTACGATATAAATATTGTTTCATCGCGCTTTCGTCTTGAGTTGGTGTCTTCAACACCTTCAGTAAGAGTCAGGGTAACAACAATCAGGGTGAAATATATGTAATAAATTGCATCCGGCTTGACGCAGAGGACATTAATCTACTTTGGCTAGCCATCGAACAAAGACCGTCACTGCATCGTGCACTTTCAAAAGCGCTTATGTGGCCAAATGGAATTAGGGAGCCACTGGAGCAATGTACTTTTCTTCATAGAATTGCCCATTGACCTCTCACAAAACTGTAATTACATCATCGAGCTTGGAGAGTTGTCGGGCTGACACAACAAAGACGGTTATTGCGTCCTTCGGTTGTGCATCTACAGCCGTCTGGAACGCTCTTCCTTCCGATATTAGGAAGCCACTGGAGCTATGCACTTTTGAATCTATATTTTTTTTTATTTACAACTTTTTGTGTGTGTTTAGCTTGTTGTCCTTCCACAGCACCTCCAATTAGCACGGTTGGCTACGTTTGGTGCGAAAGAAGTTCAACATACGTACGCCCTGTGAGCGTTTTGTAATAAATGATGAAAGTTAATTGTAAATGCCGTGAAGTTTTACAATGAAGCAGTGGTAATTCCGATTGTCTCAGGCAATGGAGGAGCTGGTGAAAGAAGGTCTGGTCAAGTCCCTTGGCGTCTCCAACTTCAACATCCCCCAGCTCAAACGACTGCTGTCCTCTGCTTCGATCAAGCCTGTCGTCAATCAGGTGCGCAGTTGTGTGGGTGAACACAAGTTTTGATTTAAAGCTTTCGTGACTGCAGGGATTCATATTCTTGGTTCTTTCGGTAAAACTTTAATTACGTGACTTTACCAAAAGAACCGAGAATATAAACACAAGTTGTTAGTACGTACGCTGAACTTGTTTTGCACTGTACGTAGCCAACCGTGCTAATCGGAGGCACGAAATCGTGAATGTAAGTGACTGGACGCTGCATATACACCTCGCCAGCAACATGTGGTTGGTGTCGTCTGTGCTGTGAGGATGTCGGACGAGGGAAAATGAGGTAGAGGGGTCTTAAGCTGCTGATCGCTGGTTCAGGGCATCTCAAATCATGTTGGGACGACATGTCATTTGTATTGATCAGGTCACTGTGTAATATCCTCATGCTATGAGAGAATATCACAGTATGTGTGCGTTGTATGAACACAAGAAGTGTACATACATGGGGAGAACTGGAGTGGTCGTGTGTTCTTTGTGTTTTTATGTGTACTTATTTCTCTGTTTCTCTCTTTCACTTTGCTTTTCTCCATGTTTCTGTCTTCATACATTGCCGTGCCTCTCTATGCATCTGTATCTCCGTGTCGCTGTCTGTGTTCTTGTTTGTGTATCTCTGTTTTTCCGTGCGTTTATCTCCATGTCTCAGTGTCTTTCTCCATTTTCTGGAAATCTCCACGTCTTTCTTTATGTCACTCTCCATATTTGTGTGTCCCTGTGTCTCTTCACATATCTACTTGTCTCGATGCTGTTTTTAATGTATCTCAGTCTCTCCACCTCTGTGTCTTTCTCCGTGTGACTTCATATCTCTTGCGTCAATGTACACTCTTCTCTCTGTTTTTCCCCCATAGCACAGAGCCCCAATCTATGGTTTGGCAGCTCTGAGCCTTGGGGATTCGTAGAATTGGTTAGGGGGGAGGGGGCTACAACTGCTCTCCGATCGTGCTTTTGCGCACGTGTGTACATGTGTGTTTATGTAGAAGGTGGTGGGGAGCGGTAGTGGAGTGAATTGTGCGCTGCACTACAAACCCGGCGAACCTAGTTTGATTCCTGCTCACGGCAAACACCAGTGACGATTATTTAAACCGGTCACGCGCCTACCCCTAGGTCGACTCAGCCTCAAATGAGTACCTGGGCGTGGCCTTGGCCACCCACCTCCTCGTGTGCCTGTAACAGCACTTGCCCTAACAGTCTGCTAAGGCTATATGGGGAATCCTTGTCTTTGTTGGTGGGGAGTGGTAAAGTAGCGGTTAGCACGCTACTCTACGAACCCATCGACCCGAGTTTGATTCTTATTCATGCCAAACACCGGTGACGATTATTTGAACCGGTCACGCGCCTACCCCTAGGTCGACTCAGCCTCAAATGAGTACCTGGTACAATGAGTAAATGTCGCCAATGGAGGAGACAAAGGCAGCTGGGCGTAGTCTTGGCCACCCACCCCCTCGTGCTGCGTCGGCCTTCATAGGTGCTCGCTAACCGCACTTGCCCCAACAGTCTGTCACACGCTTCATGGGGGTACTTTGTCTTTGTTTTTGTTATATGTGGCAGGTGGAGCTGCATCCATACAATGCACAACCAAAGCTGGTCCAGTTTTGCAAGTCACAGGGCATAGTGCTCACGGCTTACAGCCCCTTTGGCTCACCCGACCGTCCCAGGTGAGACTCGGTTGATCCTATTCCCGAGAATTCTCAATTGCACGCCGAATATGTGTTCTATCTCTGCTAATGCTCTCTCCTTGAGTGCTTCGTTTGAACCTGTTCATTTGACCATGCAGTTTGGCTGCGGCGAAGAGCTCAAACGACAACGTGAAACTCGACAAAGATCCTGGAAATCTTCTGCAAGATCCAGTGGTTGCCGACATCGCTAAGAAGCATGGCAAGAGCAGTGGGCAGGTGACGTGGGATGATTTATTTTTATGTTCCGTCATCATCAGTCGCCATAACAACAAAAACCTCACCATTATAATCATCCGTCGTTGTCATCAACACTTACTTTTACCGTATAATGCATATCTCTAAGCAAGGTCTCATTTAGCGTCGTAAAATGTATGTATTGGGAATGATTAAAAGGTCAATGCCAATGCCTGAAATTGGGCGGAAAAAATACGTGACATCACAGCTAGAAGCAGCAAAACCATAACAAAGTCGAAATATCTCCACACTTGAGAGTGGAGATACATAACCGCGGTGTTGCTCTGCTTCCTTTGTAGTCCTATTCAGTTTTTAAATTCCAAAATTTACGTGACGGGTCAGTTTTTTATTTTTTTAAAAAATACCTCTCAAAAACGATTGTTATATGTTATACTCGTATTTACCAAAATGGGATTAACGACTGATTCGGCCCTTCGCTAGCATGTGCTAGTCAAGCACCCTTAGTACAGAACCACTTGCAAAACCAAAAACAAATACAAATCATTGTAATTTTTTTAAGTTTGCAAAATTATCAATACAATATTACAGAAAAGATGAGAGTTGCAATTTCAAATATTCTGGAGCAGACTAAGTAGCAGTTTGGAACATCATACTCAACGTTGCTTCCGGTTTGTTAGCGCCGTGTACCACAAATGTGCGTCGCGAGGAATTCGTGTATATTCAGTTTAAATAAAAGCCAGCACGTATCCCTGCTTTAACGAACATGGGGCAATTTTCATCGCCATTGGTGGCACCGCCCAGTAATGCGGTGAGATCCCAAAGTGATCTCATTTTCGTTCACATTTCGGAGATGATGGGGGTGTCTATCTGCGTGATGCTGAGTGTTTTTTACACTCGCTCGACTTGTCTTGTGCTAACAGATACTGCTCCGTTACCATATTGAGAACAATATCGTCGTGATTCCAAAGAGCGTCACACCAGCCAACATTATCCAAAACAGCAAGGTATTGTGAAGTGAAGTACATTTGCGTACATGTGCACGCGCTGCAAGCAATGCTTTGAAAGTGCCGTTGGCGAATTACCGCAATAACATCCCCAAAGGCACGCCCTTGTAATCCCATATTATATTTATTTCAGTGCAAAGTCAGATGTTACTCCTAAAAACTGTTTTCATCTTGAGTCAAAGTTTTTCAAGTGCCACCTGTAAACTTCCAGTTACAATATCTACACGTGGATCGCTGGAGTTTTGGAAATCTTCCTCACCCCTGAATATTGTATTGTGTTCTTGAACTTCCCATGTCTCCAACTCAGGCCCCTGGAATAAACAAACTCTGGGTTAACTATATTGGGCTTTCTGTTCTATGCAGCTTTGAGAATTTAACTTGTTGAATCTAGAATCACTCGTTGTTAGCGTTCCATAATCTTCACCCCTGTGCCAGGTCTTTGACTTCTCTCTGGACGAAGAGGACTTGATCAAGCTGGCGCAGCTAGACCGAGGATGGTCTTTGTCCAATTCGCTCTTCAGCAAGTAAGCAGCTGCATTGTTGATATATGATACACTTTAACAGATGTAGCTGAATCGTATGTTTAAAAAGTTTGAAACTAGTACTGTCCTGTAATTGCGCCGTATAACGATCACTACAGGTACATCATGTGAGCTCTGCTTATAGATAGAACAAAGTTAAATATTCAGATAAATCCGATGAGCTATGAAGCTCTTTTGCACAGATGTCCAGTAGGGGTGGGTCAGAAAGTTCCGGCAACAAACAATATGAAACACTTGACTTAAAGCTTTTGTGACTGCAGGAATTCATGTGATTTGAGTCTCTCGGTAAAGTCACGTAGATGGGTTAACATTTTTATAAAATAAACGAAAAAACTACGACCTTCCGATCGCAACACAAGCGATCGTCATCAGGTGGAAAAAGGAGGCAGCAAAATTACAGCAAAACATTCCCAGACAACACCAAGAAGACAACACACAGTCCCTCAATAAAATGACACGTAAAACATTAACTATCGATGCATGGGTAAGGATGAAAGTTACAAATAACATTGGCAAATGCAGTTGTATGCAGCACTAATCTTCTGCTTCAGAATATTTGTTGACGGAAAAGATTGACGATAAGGTTCAAACTTGATTTGAAGCCTTCGTGACTGCAGGAATTACCCTTTGGTTCTTTCGGTAAAGTCACGTATAAAGAAAATAAAACACATTCCTGTGGAGGGAGCTGGTAGGAACGTTGGGTTGCTCGGTCAATTGCGGCGTGGTGTATTCCGCAAATATGGCCGACTGTGAGGGCGGGCACAAGCCGGCGTGAGTAGGTTAAACGTTGAGTTTTATAAGAGCACCACGGGGTGACCAGCCCCTCCCCACCCAGCCCCACCCCTCCCATTTTTGGATGCACGACGGACGGACGGACACAATAATCCCCTGTGGGCTGGTGGAACCAGGTGGTTCCTACCAGTATTAAATAATAGAATACGACGTTTCGATTGCAACACAAGCAATCGTAATCAGCTAGAAAACAAACCTAGTAAACTTAGAAATGGAATGCAATACAACACAGAGAGTCGGCTAACACAACAGTGTTGCTATTTCATTTATACCTGATGATGATTGCTTGTGTTGCAATCGAAACGTCGTATGCTATTATTTAATTTATTGTTTTATCTTTATACGTGACTTTACCGAAAAAGCCAAAGAGTAATTCCTGCAGTCACGAAAGCTCCAAATTTAAGAACACCCCACCTGGTTTATTACGTTCTTCCAAAGATTGCTAAATTTGAGAAAGAGACAAAACACAGACACGGAGACACACAGACAGACACACAAGCAGAGAGAGATGACACTGAGACACACAGAGGGTGTCTATGTGTGTGTCTCTCTCTCTCTGTTTACCACAACTCGAGTGCTTTGGAGACGCGGTATGTGGATCAGATTCCATTATGTGCGTGATCAAACCACACCTGTAGAGCTCCACGATGATCAGTAGATGGCATTACAATAGTGTGCTATGAAGAAGGGCCGTGGCCCAAAACGTCACCAATTACAGCATATTGTACGAGGCAGGCCCCGACTTAACAACATTATAAAATGTGTTACGGTCCAATAAAAAATGGAAGCATTGTTAAACCCATAAATAAGAAGAAATAGTGTAAATTTACATTGAACACTGTAATAAATACTACATAGTAAAATACAATTTAACCTAAAATAAGTAACATAAATAGAAAAAGTCTGCTTTATATTCACATTGAGTCCTAATGCTGTCGAAAGGGGCGCAATGAGTTATTAAATTGCACATCCACACACACGGGGCACTCATACAAAGACAAAGATCCCCCGTATAGCCTTAACAGACTGTTGGGGCAACGGTACACGAGGGGGTGGGTGGCCAGCACCACGCCCGACCGCCTTTGTCTCCCCAGTGGCGATGTTTACACACAGACACACACAAAGACACACACACACAGACACCCCCCATGCCAAAGATTCCCCCGTATAGCCTTAACAGGCTGTTGGGGCAAGTGCTGTTAGCAAGCAGCACTTATGAAGGCCGGCACAGCTGACAGTGTCAATGTTTACACACCGTAGCAGGTACTCATTTGAGGCTTAGGAGACCTAGGGGAGGCCCAAGACCCATTTAGATAATCATCACTGGTGTTGGTCGTGAGTGGGAATCGAACTCAGGTTGGTAGCGCAGCGTAGCGCAACACCGCTACGCGACTTTCACACACACACGCACAGACACTCCCCGTGCAAGGCTGACCCGTTACATCTCACGGAGGATCGCTCCAATGAACAAAATAGTTCCACGTTTCAGGTTGCAAGCGTGAGTTGGCGTTCGTAAGTGAGGGTGTTCGTAAGTCTAGGACGATATATTCTTGGTTCTTTCGGTAAAGTCACGTAGAAGGGAAATAATAAAATAAATGAAGCCTCATTAATTAATTAATTGATAGAATATATATAAAACAATCAAAATTCTCACGACGTTTCGACTGCAACACAAGCAATCATCATCAGGTGTGAAATCCATAGCAAGAAAATTTTAAAAAAGTGTCGGTTTTTCTAACATTAGCACCACTTTTTTCAAATTTTCCTGCTGTGGATTTCACACCTGATGATGATTGCTTGTGTTGCAGTCGAAACGTCGTGATAATTTTTATTGTTTTATATATATTTTTTCCCTTCTACGTGACTACCGAAAGAACCAAGAATATGAATCCCTGCAGTCACGAAAGCTTTAAATCGAAATTTAAGTCTAAGACTGTTTCTGTTTCTTTTAAGGCAGTGTTATTGATGGATGTGTTAAGCTTTATTGTTAACCAGCCTTTTGCCCGTCCTAGGACGGAAGCTTAATATTACAGATGTACATTTACGTTTTCTTGTGTAGCTGTAAATGATTTTACGAATTGTTGCACGTACATATTTTATCTTAACTTGTAAAATGAAATTATGGACTTTGGAAGATTTCTCGGTATACGACATTTTGTGTGAATCTCTTATCACCGTTCAAAAGGTTTCACTGCGGTTGACTATCCTTGATGAGCACTTTGATCCGCTGAGGATGTTTAGATCTAGACAGAGCCACGTGCAACTGTACTGGGGAAGACTTACATTTTGTTGCAAGTGCTGAAGAAATAAATAGAGAGACCAAATACACTTTGATGCTGCGTAGACTTATTAATTTGATTAACTTTCAATAAAGAAACGTCACATTTAAAACGAATTTGCATTAAAAAATGTATTTCCGCTCGACCTTCTGCGTGAGTGTAAAAATCCACCCGCTCATGATTATTTTATTATTAATGACGGGGGGGTGCGGCATGTGGAGTGACGTCATGCGCGGGACACATTTCTGGGCTATTATAGTAGTAGTTGTGCTTGTGCACCACTGGCAACGTAGCATCACAAAATAAACACATTCCTCCTGCGGAGGGAGCTGTAGGAACATTGGGTTGCTCGGTCAATGACCAGGGTCAACGGCGGCGTGGTGTATTCCGCAAATATGCCCGACTGTGAGGGCGGGCACAAGCCGGCGTGAGTTGGTTAAACGTTGAGTTTTATAAGGGCACCACGGGGTGACCAGCCCCTCCCCAGCCAGCCCCACCCCTCCCACCCCCCACCCAGCCCCACCCTCCCCACCCAGCCCCTCCCCACCCTCTCCACCCAGCCCCTCCCTCCCCACCCCCTGCACGACGGACGGACACAATAATCGACGGACGGACACAATAATCCCCTGTGGGCTGGTGTAACTAGGAGGTTCCTACCAGTATTGGAATAATAGTGGAGAACTGACCTATCGTACTCGCGTGTCCTCCGACATGCAAAGTAAAGAGTCGTGTTTGCAATAATCGTGAGTGTCCGTGACCAGTTGCACCTCCCTGTTGTTCACAGAGTGAAGGATCACAAATACTTCCCAGTGAACGATGACTACCCATCGTGCTAATGGACATACATCTCAACTTCAGAGGCGGTCTCAGCTGATGCCAATTGAGTTTTTTTTTAATAGGGCCAGTGTTTTGCACCAATTAAATGTGCACAGCATGAGCTTTGAACGCTTTGCAAAAGTGTGGCGGTAATTTTTTAACGAAATAACGCAGTGATACATCTCCTTTATACACAGCGTTGGTGTTATGCTAAAGTGTAATCGCAAAATAAATCAATGGACGTTAATATGATACAATAAAACAACATTGAATATCAATTGTGTCTCTGTGTCTTCTATAAGGCAGTGCTTTGAAAACAATGTAATGTCAGCACAGCTGACCAGTTCTGCTCTTGTTTTGACTGATATCTAACAATCACAAATACCATAATTTTGAGGATATTTTTTTCTGCCTATGGTTTTGGTCAAATATGTACATGTGTTTGCAATACAATAGCCGTCCTTGGAATTAACTCGGTTTGTAGCAGGAATGTTTTATTCACCAACAGATACAGCAGAGGGCTCTGAATTTAGAAGGAAAAAAACTGCAATTCCATCTCTCCGATACACGACAAAGCACCACGCTCCAAGCCACAATGCAGAACAGTGCCTTCAAGAGAGATAATAAAATCTTGATCTGAAAATGTCCAACATAACATGCAAATAATGTCGTTGATGTTCTGCATTTAAAGTTTTTCTCATTTATAGTCGAGGTCAAACGTGCCCATCCTCCCATAAAGTTAAATTGTGAAAAGTCAGCAATAGTCTTCTAAAGCCACAGACCCCTTCTCTTAGGCAAGTAGATGTTCCAGCACTGGTTCAAGGCCACCGACAAAGATGACCAATTCCTCTGTGCTCACCGGCCAGGAATCATCATTTTGCCGTCACCGTGGGCTAGCCAGGACCACCGGGGCCACAAGACCAGCGGTTGTGATTTCGTGTGTGGCTGGAAACGACTTTTGTGTTGTCGCACCCAGCCCCGAAGATGTGTGGACATTTTTCCTCCTTCGTGTGCATAATCAGGATGAGTTTTCCACTGTTTCAGATTGATTAATTTTATCCATACGTAAACACATTTTCACGGATTATAGGAATA